GGCTTTGTCCAGCGAGCCAGTGTTGCTTTGGCGGGGGGGAGGATTTATGTCTAATTTAATGTGAGTAGCTACAGATCTGCGGCCTTTTCAAACGGGACGGGCCTTAGCAACCCTGCCAGGGAGACTGGTGCTGCTCTGCATAGCGATTCGCTTGGAATACGGTTAACAAGAATCCCGCTTTTTATTATTTTTAAGTTACGTCAAGCCTGTAATTATTCTTTTTGCCAGTGCTATCCGGTGAGTTTTCCTTCAGATTTATATTGGCATTTACCGCACTCTTTAAACGCGTGTGTATTTAGTTTTATTCACATCGATGGCGATTAGCTTATTCTCCGTGGCTTCAGCACGTCTCGAACCTTGTCACACTTAGTCGCACGAGGCCTCAAAAAATCTGTAACTGCAGCTGCGTTCTTGAAGTCGCAGACTTTAGTTCCCCACTTATTAAAAGCTGACTGTTTCTGCATCAGCCCCTAGGTGTCACTGCCGTCACTGGCTTCTGTAGTCATGCGTGTAAATTTGCCAAATCTGTGCAAAGCTGGAAAAAATGTTTGGGGTGAGGAAAGATAATTAGGCTGAAATGGTCAAATGCCATTCGGATTAATCTGATTAATTTACACTCTGATTATTCCCAATCTGTTAGCACCGTTTTAAATTCCAGCAGTAAAACAGTGATTTAAATACAGGCAGTTCAGTGCCTTTTGCAGACACTTATAGCAATAAATCTCTCCTCCTTTCTCTCTTATCTGCAAATTTTCTGTCTGAAATGTCTTTTCACGTCTCTCATGGCAGAGAGAACTAATCAGCATGTCAACTGGCAGCTGTGAACGGATCCTTTCTGATAATTACATTCGTCTGTCTGTCACTGAATCTTTTTTTAGTGTTTCGGGAGAAACAAAATATAAAATAGAAAAAAAAACAGCTGAAACAGTTTAGTCTTTGCCTTTTTTTTCCCGTTGAAATTGCATTTACATTTGCACTCCCGGTGAACGACTGCCAAAGAAAATGCACACAGAATTGTGTCTATAATTTTTAAAACAGGTTTCGGAATTGCCAGGAACATAATTAAGGTACTTTCTACATTATCAGTTGAAGGATAATTAGCTTATTATTATAATTAGCCAATTTAGCTAATTAGAAGTACCTTGATGCAATGTGCTTTTATTGATAACTGACTAAAATCTGTCCTGTTAGTGGTTTTAGCTCCTTTTTCATGTGGAACATTGAAGGGGACTAAAAACAACAGATGGGGGGGGGGGGTTGCTGGGGTTATAATTATAATGGGGTTGTAATTGTTTTTTCATTCTCGCCGCTTCTGAAAGGTTTCTGGATCCAGGGTACTTGAATGCCCCAGCATCCAGATCACCACCATCTCCCCAGAGGAGGATTCTACCCCAGCTGGGGGCAATTACTGGGACAGTGGGGTTGGCTGGGACCGGGAGCGCCTATACCTGCCGTTGCTGGACCCCTTTTGTTACCGGGATGGTGTCTCCGGGGCAGGGTCCCTCAGCCCCAGCCCCGCCTCTAGCCCCTCCTCCCGGGGCTGGCTCAGTCCCGCCTCCAGCTGCGACTCCCTCCTGGGGGAGGAGGATGAACTGGCTGAGGCCGCCACCCACTTCTGCCTGTCCCCGTCGTCCCGCCCGACGTCCCCCGGCGGCAAGAGGCGCTGGAACTCCCCGCTGCCGTCGCCCAGCACTTCCCGTAGGAGCAGCTACTCCGAGGAATACGCCTGTCCCCCGGAGAGTGTTGACCCCGCCCCCCAGAGCCAGGCCCCGCCCAGCAGCTTGGAAATTAGCATTCCGCAGAAGACCAGAAAGACCTCGCTGGAGCAGGCTAGTGGCCCCGTGGCTTCTCACGGCACAAAATTGATAATGAGTTTAAAAAATAGGGGAGTCGGATTAACTTTTTGATGTAACGCATGTGTGCTTTGGGTATGTGGATCAGTGCGTGTGGATGCCTTCATGGTGACCGTGGGGGGCCCTGTGCTCTCTGCTGGCTGTGACCCTTTAGGTCTCGTCTCGGGATGCGGATCCGGAGCAGGCCCTGCCCACAGGCTCCCCTTGCCCAGTCCTGGAGCCGCCACAACCCAGGAGGGACGCGTCCTCGCTGGGCATGGACTACCTGTCAGTACCCCCTGCCCTGGGCTGGGGCAGGACCAGAGCCAGTGCGCATAGCCCCCTGTTCAGGTAGGCGAAGGAGGGAAGGGACTGACGGAGGAGAGAGTGGAGGTGGGGGAGGAGGTCCAGAGAATCGGGACAGGGTGGGGTATGCATCAAAGATGGACGACCAGCGTGCTTGGCCTGGATGAAAAGGCAGAATGTCGATTTCAAACCCGCAGGCTGGAATCGTCGGACCTCATGCTCCACATGGTACAGTGTCTATAGCCAGTCATGCGTGTGACAGCAACGGCCTCCTGGAGCTCGAACCCCTTAACATCTGCGTACCATAGGTATCAGTGGAGGCCTGCAGGCTGGGAAATGCTCACGGCTGCCGTATGAGTGCGACTTGTGAGCCGGGCTGCACCTCCAGACCTCAGTGCAGACCTCCAGAACTCAGTGCAGACCTCCAGAACNACCTCCAGACCTCAGTGCAGACCTCCAGAACTCAGTGCAGACCTCCAGAACCCAGTCCAGACCTCCAGAACCCAGTCCAGACTCCCCACTCCCTGTTACCTTTATATGCAATATTGCTCCCATGGTATAATTCTCCTGTATAACTTTTTTGTCAACAAATTTGCTTTTTAATTTCCCCCACCTACAATTGTCTTCGGTTTTTAATAGTATTGTTTCCTAGATCTATTCGTTCATGGGTCATTTAGCAGTAAATAACTATTAAACTTTTAAATGGATTGTATAACCTTTGAAGATTTTTTTGCATCGTTTCCCATTTTTCCCATGATTGCCTTTACAGGTCAACTGCTCTTCCACCTCTTGATTGGCCACTGCCATCCCAGTTCGACCAATACGAGTTGCGCATCGAAGTACAGCCCCGCCCACATCACCGGGCCCATTACGAGACCGAGGGAAGTCGGGGGGCAGTGAAGGCAGTGCCTGCTGGGCACCCAGTCATCAAGGTGGCGAAAGGGTCCTCACATCCTCTGCACCTCCGCATATGCCTCTGTCTGAGCTAATACAGTCACAATGCTACATTTAATGGTGTGATTACAGTCACAATGCTACATTTAATGGTGTGATTACAGGCACAATGCTACATTTAATGGTGTGATTACAGGCACAATGCTACATTTAATGGTGTGATTACAGGCACAATGCTACATTTAATGGTGTGATTACAGTCACAATGCAACATTTAATGGTGTGTATGTCTTCCTTTCTCAGCTGTTAGGGTATTCGGAGAGACAGCCCCTCTCGCTACAGGTGTTTGTTGGCACGGCAGATGACCGGTCCATCCGTCCACATCCGTTTTACCAAATACACAGGTACTTTCATGTGCTTCAGTTCACAGGTAGTATACCAGGCTGCCCCCTGCTGGAGGTTCAAGTGCAGGAATCGCTGGGCTTACTCTAGCTCAGGGCAGCTTGCGTTAGCTTGCATTAGCTGATGTTTGCTAACTCGCACCAGAACCTAAATTATAATGTTCGCTGATTAGTTTCCAGAAGATAGCTATAAAACCTGGATCTAAGCTGATCTTCGGGATGGTCCTTACTTAGGAGCGTCTCGTTCGGGTAGGCGTATCAGCGTGTGTGTGCCTGTGCATCTTCGGCGGCACGCGCGGCTGACCAGTGGCGGGCATGTGCTCACAGGGTGACGGGGAAGATGGTGGGCACCGCCAGCCAGGAGAGCATCCAGGCAGGGACGAAGCTGCTGGACATTCCGCTCGGCCCTGAGAACAACATGACCGCCCTGTGAGAGCAGTAAAGATGCAGGCCGGCAGACGGACGCTTCACCTTGTTCCGCTGCTGCCCCTGGCCTTGCAAGGCCTCTTTACACACTAGATCTCCACTTCATCCCTGTTTTGTTCTCATTTCCTGTGGCAAAAGAAAGCTGGATTTCTGTCGTAGGAAATCTGTGGAGGCCTGATGGGTAGGGAAGTGTGCTTGTGATAGAAAGGCTGCTGGTTTGAATCACCAACCAGCGATGCACCACTGAAGTTCCCTCAGTAAGGTACCGCCCCCAAGCACTGCTCCCTGGGTGCTCGGTAATAGCTGCCCCCTGCCATGTCACTTATGGGTTAAATATAGAGGACGCATTTCGTTGTTGTGCACTGTGGGGTGTCAACGATGACAATTACTTCACTTTCCGAATGCAGCACATGTCGGTTAGGCAATAGACCACCAAGTGAGAAGAGTAGTTTATAAATATCCATCAAAACGTCAACAAAACAACTAGCAGACACTGTTATCCAGTGTGATGCAGGTATTTGAGAAAGCAGAGTCAGACAGTGCCTGGGGCAGCTGGGGGGGTTAAGGACCTCGATCAGGGGGAAACGGTGACATCACTCTGCCAACCCCGGGATTTGGACAGGTGACCTTTCCATCACAGGCCCTACACACCTTCCTGTGCTCCTCAGAGTGACTGTAGTGATTTTGTCGTCGTGTTTTCTGTGTCTGTGTGCGCGACTGGGAATATCAGACCGTTTCTCTGTTGTTATGTTTTCTCTGTCTATGTGAGAATGTGGGGACGTCAGACCGTTTTTCTCTGTTGTGTTTCTTGTGTCCTTGTGAGTTTGTGGGGACGTCAGACCGTCTCTCTGTCTGCCAGCATTGACTGTGCGGGGATCCTGAAGCTGAGGAACTCCGACATCGAACTGCGGAAAGGCGAGACCGACGTCGGCAGGAAGAACACGCGCGTGCGCCTCGTTTTCCGCACGCACATCCCCCTCGCCCCCCCCCTGACCACCCCCAGCCGCATCCTGGCCTTGCAGGCTGCCTCCCTGCCCATCGAGTGCTGTGAGTCAGGAGCCAGTCATACGCTTTCCCTTCTGCCTTTGGCCAGTCACTCGTTTGGCCTTCAGAGCCTTTAACAGAGGCTGCCTCTGCTCCCTCCAGCCCAGCGCTCTGCTCAGGAATTACCGGTGGTGGAGTCCATCAGCCTGTCCTCCTGCTCCGTGGAAGGAGGAGAGGAGCTTCTTTTGGGTGGGGTCAACTTTCTGGCCAGCTCCAGGGTGCTGTTCATGGAGAGAGGGACAGGTAGAGAAGAGCGGTGACCAGTGTTGATGTTTGGTCTCCTGGAAAATGCCTTCCACTCCTCCCCATGATATTTCATTTGTATTTAACGATCAGATGGCAAGCTACAATGGGAAGAGGAGGCTCAAGCCGACCGGGACAAAAGCAATGAGGTAATTGCTAAAATATACCCTATAAGGACCTCCCAAGGAGAGTATATCAATGTTCACCTCATTCGTTAAGTTCAAATGTAGAAGCTTTAAATCTGTACTTTTACTCCCTCTAGTGGCCATGTTTATTATCTTTCTAGCTATTGTTGATTTTGCCTGTCTAATGAATGTGTGAGTGTGCGTACAGTAGAACCTTGCAACTCGAACGCCTCTTAACTCGACCAACTCGGACGTCGGATGGGTCTGTCGAATCCTTTTCGGCTTGTACCTCGATTGAAATCCTGTTAAAACTTGTATGGTTCGAGACACATTCAACTCCACCGATTCGGACCTCAAACTGGTCGGTCGAGAAAACTGTAACCGCAGCTCGACTGAAAACTCAGAACACGACAAAACAAAAGACCTGCCAAAACTTGTATGGATGGAGACGCATCTCTGATTGGCTGACACAAAGGCAGACGGACCTATTGGGATGCTGATGCCTGTGAATCGCTCTCAGAATCGCGGTGCCTCTCGACCGAGCTCAACGTGCGAAAGCTGTGTTCCTGTGTTCGGTGTGATTTTTTTTGTGCTTTATCTACAGTACATTTAGTGATACAGTAATCATGGCCCCTAAGAACGAAACAGGAAAGTAGTCAGAGTAACTGTATTATGGGATTGTCATTTATTTCATGTTTATTGCTTTTGTATGTGTGCTTTTTCATTTGTGTATTAGGTTTATATTGACTATTAAAGGTTTTTATCATTAATTAGGTAGGAGGATAAGTTTAAATAGACACTCATTTGAGGGTCTGGAATGGAATGGAAAATTCATTTACATTATTTCTTATGGGGAATTCAACTTGGACTTCGACCAAATCGCAACTCGACCAGCCTTCTGGGATTAATTGAGTTTGTGTTCCAAGGTGCTGTTGTATGAGTAATGATGGAGACCAAGTCCTTATTTTTGCTGCGTGTATATGTACCTGTGTGTGTGTGTGTGTGTGTGTGTGTATATGTACCTGTGTGTGTGTGTGTGTGTGCGTGTATATGTACCTGTGTGTGTGTGTGCTGCTCTACAGTCACATATTTATTCTGTGTTTGTCTGTGCTGACCAACCTGCCTCTATGCCACGCTGCCCCCAGTGCCTCCTGTGTGTGAGAGTCCCGCCCTATGCCAACCCCTCTGTCAGCCATCCAGTGTCCGTCTGTCTCTACGTGTCCAATGGGAAGAGGAAGAGGAGCAGCACACAGTGTTTCAAGTATCTGCCAGGTGACTGTCCCCATCTGCTCTGTCCCTGCCCACTCTGTCCCCATCTGACTTAATAATATGTTTTAAGGAGTCACAGCTTGGTTTTCCACAAAATAATCACTTGGTCGATTGTCCCCTCGCATCTCTTCCCTCCTTTTGCCCAGTCATGTTTAAAGAAGAGGACTCCTTGCTGACTCAACATTGCAGTACCGTTTTGCCCTTGGTGGGGGCGCCATTACCTGCGGTGGGCAGGGGCAGGGAGGCCGACGGGGACGCCTTGAGACTTAGGGGTGACTCATCGGAGGAGAGGGGGCTGGGGGCAGGGACGCAGCCATTCCCGCTCCCGCCGTACCCCACCGACTACCCTCCTGTGTACTCCCAGCAGGGTTATCAGGAGGAGTATTGCCCCAAGACAGAGGTGGTAGAGGAGGTTCTGGGGGGCAGAGGTGGGTTATCAGAGAGGAACCCCAGCTTTGAGACCTTGGAGCTGGGCTTCACAGAGCTGCTTCCCCCACTATACCCCCGAAACACACACCCTCCCTCTCCCTCAGCCTCCCCCTGGCTGGACTCCCCATATCTCTCCTCTTCCCCCTCTCCATCGCATTCCTCCTCCCTCAGCCCCTTCCCCACCAGCAGCCCCCTCTCTACCTCGCCCCTGCCCCCCCTCACACACTCCCCCTACCCCCACTACTCCTACCCCCAAGAGATGTGCCCATCGCCTCCCCCCAATCCCACCCCCTACCAAGAATTTTACCCTCCAGCCTACCCCCAGTTTGAGAGCTGGGAGCCACCGGGCCGGGGCCCCGGGGAAAGGGCGACCCCGCATTCAGGGACTCAGGCTGGGATGAAAATACAGGAAAGTCCCGTGGATTTTGCGGGCCCATCTATACACCCTATTACTCTGGAGGAAGGTACGGCCCTTATGTTGTTTATACAGAGTACTGTGCAAAAGTCTTAGGCAGACAGAGAAAAAGATATTTAAATGATCTTCTTGTCAGTGTAAAACTATCTTATTATGCCTGTCAGTTATGTCTGATATTATGTATATCAGCTCAGCCATTGCATAACCTCTCAGAAAGTCACCCCAGTATTTGCAGCAGCTGTGCAATGCTCAGATGCCCCTGAGGAGATGTTTGGGATCTGAAACGATGTTCATCTAGCCATCCAGCAAGATATCAGTAACTTTTTGGAGATCAGAAGAAATTCTTGTTAGTTTTTTATTGTGTTGCTCTTGATTTGCATATGATTTAATGTTAAAGTATGTTTTTTTTTTCTAAGTAAATACACTTGCTATGCAGATAAATAGCTTTAAACATTTTCTTTGATTGCCTGAGACTTTTGCACAGGGTTATCAAGTATTGAACGCTACCCGGCGCATGTGTTATCTGGACCAAAAGACAGAGTAACGTTTGTCTCTCCGCAGTAAATGAATTCATCGGTGAGGACATCAGCTCCTTCTCTCCTGTGCAAATGGACGGCAGACCGGAATGAACACTCCTTTTTTTTCCCCATTATTTTTGTCAAGTTTTTATTGAAAACATCAGTACAAATTTCCATATCACAGGCTTTAAAGTATATTGCATACATAAGGCAATATTGTAAAAAATACAGCCGTAAACCCAGCGGGGGATTGAAATTACTCAGTGCTCCTATAGTGTAAACTGACATCCTATTATGCGGAATCTATTGCAGTGAGCACAACTGTAATTATTTGTATAGATATTCTTTATATATTATACTTAAGTTTTTATCTGTTTTCAAATAAAAGGGTAAAAAGCATTTGTCTGTCTGTCCATCGTCCATCCATCCATTCTCCATCCATCTTCCACATGATTATTCTGGTCTGGGTCACTGGAAATCGCAGTGTGTGCACTGGTTTGTGTTTATGTGGCCTGCATCACATAGCAGCTGGCACTTTTATGGTTTCTCCGTAATTAGAAAGCACCCCCCCCCCCCCCAGCAAGCCCTCTAAACGTTTTACTGCTTCTGTTGTTGAGATGTTCAGCCTAACCTGCTGTGCGTCATCCTGACCTCTCCAGTGACCTGGTCAGAGCCGTAAAGGTTCAGTTACTATTGGCGTCTGGTGTTAGTTCAGGCCATTGTTGAGAATGCACCAAAAAAGGGATCCTGCTCTTGATTACAATTGTGTGGCTTTACTTTAAATAGACAGGAAGGGTTTTTCCACTAAGACTTCTGTCCACAGCTGTCTTTGGTCTTAGTCACCACTCAATGTCAGTAACATCTTTCACCGCAAAGCCTGTCACATTTTGTTGATGAGGATTTCCCTTGTATCACCCTCTGCTGCTCTTTTAGGTCAGACTTTATTCTATACCAGTGTTGCCCAGTCCAGTGCTCAGGGACCCACAGACAGTCCATGTTTTTGCTCCCTCCCGACGGTCAGGGAGCTCGGAGGGAGCAAAAATGTGGACTGTCTGGTAGGGAGCTCGGAGGGAGCAAAAATGTGGACTGTCTGGTAGGGAGCTCGGATGGAGCAAAAATGTGGACTGTCTGGTAGGGAGCTCGGAGGGAGCAAAAATGTGGACTGTCTGGTAGGGAGCTCGGAGGGAGCAGAACCATGCACTGGCTAAGGTCCAGACTGGGAAACGCGGTTCTATTTTCACTGTTCTTCATTACATTGTTCCCGTCCTCCTGAAGTTATTCAGTCCTATAGATTTCCAATACCATCAATCTCATGATACTCATATCATATGACTCTTTTAAGTGATTGTGATTTTAACAGGAAAGCAAAGCAAGAGTTACCTTTACAAATACCTGCTGACAAAGTCGAGGGTTTCCCAACACTGTGAATGATGAACAAACAAGTAGTCTGAAATATCTAGAAGACTCATAATGACATAATGGTTTGATTCTCGACCTTCTGTACGTGACATCTGTGTGTCTCCATCGATTGTTGCTTAACCATGCTGGCGTCTAGCGTTCAGCTTCTTGCTTCCGAAATGAATGAGTCAGCTTTGGCTGGCAGTCATGTGCTCCTCAGGACCATGGGGAGGTTGGCTAGCTGTGTGTGGGAATTCTTCCCTCTGTTCACAAATGCCGACATTCCCGCATCCCGCTTCCGCGCACGGAAGCACAAACGCACCACGGCTGCACCTGGACTACAGTGATTTCACACTTTTCAGTTGAATAGCAGATAATTTTGCAAATAACAAAAAAAATGTGGGGGTTTTAAAAACATTTATACAACTTGCTTAATTATGTTACAACAAGACCCATCCTTGGGACATGAACTGGCAGCTTAGCCGTTAGAGTACTGATTTATCTGCTGATATTTCAATGACAATTATCTGGCATCAATGCAAGGACGCCATACGTTTAACTGAAATACCAAATTTTATCATCCTATTTAGTAACAATATACACATTTTATTGGTGTCTAATTTTTTGAAAATCTGCATTTGTTCATTCTTTTGAGAGGAATGTGCGGCCACTCTGTGGGTAATTGTTTCAGAGTTGCCGAGGTTTAAAAAAGTATTCGGCAACGTATGTCCTGTTTTGCTATATGAACAAACATTTTCTAGAATATTTTCCCCTAAAAATTACACTCTCCACCTTCACTTTCTGTACCGTTACTCATTTTATCCCCGAATTGATTAAGGTCATAAAATACGTTCAAGTTAGGACAATATAACAATGCATTTAACGTAATACATCTAAACATTGAAATGAACACATTGTGAGTCAGGAAATATTTCTCCTGGTGTGGCCTTTATTTAACACTGACTTGCAACACTAACACTGGTGTAAAGTACACAGAATGCTCAGGTTATTGGTACAGCCGTAAACACCGACAGAAGCGAACTGAGGCGACGTTTCTTTGTTTAAATCGCCTTCAAAAAATCATTAGGCACCTTGTTTTGCAACATCGGTACATTTTATAGCACTCTGTCCATGGTTTTCCAATGCCGACAAATCCTTCATTGGGACACGTTTATAAGGGTCCTTGAAATTGATGAAAAGTCATTTGCGCTGGTAGCTGCCACTTATAACCCATTTAAAGAAAAACAAAAATACAATGTCAGCACATTCATCTTAACAGTTAACGGCTGGTACCTTTTTCCTGCCGAATAAAAAGCACAGTAAAATCACAAATGGGTATCTTTTTGTTCCTGGGTCACGATACACTTTCCCGATTATATCGGGGAATAAAACCATTTCTCTAAAGTTTTTAACCGCTGAAAAATTAACAAGCTGGTGAGTAACTTCAATGGCGAAAAATGACCGTGTTCATACTTCTGGGAAAACACACAAACATTTACAGTAATAAAAATAACACGACAGATCCGCCTCGTTTACCTGCATAGTTAAACCTTGAATGGGAAACGCTAAAGATGACAAGGACCATATCTCATACAAAGGAAGATCCGGCAGTACTGGTGTTAACATATATATTTCACCCCGTATATAACTGTATAATCTAAGGACTCAACAGCGCCCCGGGGTACTGGGCTGTGATCTTTGGGTGGCAGTGATCAAGACAAACACACGCATCAAGATGGACAGGTGTTCAAGAACGTGATTTAAATTCATAACTTCACTCTCATACGCTTAAAAACGGGTTATTTAAGAAATACTAAGAATAAGCAATCGCACAACCTCATAAATGCATTATTCAAGTTCATGTGAATACATGTATTTACTGTAAACTTGAACACTTTAAAACTATCACAGAAGTCTACGGCCTTCTCTGAGTGATTTTCTTTATATAAAATGTATTACAACTCTTAAGAACTCAGGATTTAACATATTATGGCCCACGGTTGTTAAAAAAAACAATATAAAAAAAGTTCTGTGATAAAACAGCAATAACAACAACGTCATACAGGTCTTGGATCTCTCCCAGGGACACAGTGACATTTTGCTAACAGTAACAACAAATAACCAAAGTATAATCAATTTAAAAAATGCTTAAATATCTAAGGTGATGTATATGCTGCGATGTCTGTAAGGCAAAAGGCAAATATTTTGCGGAACCTGGGAAGTTTAAAGCTAAAGCCAGCATATTAAAACAGCTTATACTCTCCTTCGCACAACTCTGCACATCCCCCCCCCGCCTGCGCCTACACGGTGACAAAGACCAGGCGGGCGGAGTAGATCAGGTCGGCCAGGTAGAGGATGAAGTTGAGGGCGGTGAGCACAGCCACGGCCACCAGCTTGTCGAAGGCACAGAACCCTGGCTGGGAGCCGCACTGGGCCGGGCGGTACGTGGTGCCGCCGTGGTTCTTGTCGAACTTGAAGATGGGCCAGATGATGGTGGCGGACAGGTACATGAGCACGGCGAGCAGGGCGTAGGCAGACAGGAAGCGGGCGAAGGGGAACGGCAGGCAGCCTGTGCACTCGCCCACGCACAGCACGATGATGGCGGCCGACAGGATGAAGCAGATGCAGTAGACGGCCAGGCACCACTGCAGGGCCGGGTGCTGATCGTAGGAGATCGGCTCGCTGATGAAGACGAAGATGATGCAGGCCACAAAGGTCTCGCACACCTTGAGCAGCCCGGGAGCGGTGGCCATGTAGCCGGACACCTCGCCGGGCCGCGCCTTGCTGATGCTGACCTCGCTCACGTAGGCCACGGTGGCCAGGCAGGAGAAGACGGTGGAGACCACGCGGAAGTCGTACTCCCTCCGGCCCCGGGGGTAGCCCTTCAGGAAGTACAGGGGGAAGATGACGGAGGCGGAGAGGCACAGCAGCGAGGCGTAGCACGCGAACGTGATGGGGAAGTTCTTCCAGGAGACGGGCGCGCGGGTCTGCAGGCCGAACAGCTCCACCAGCAGCACCAGCAGCGTGCCGGCGAAGCTGAAGCTCCAGCAGAAGATGCACCAGTCGGCCGTCCTGGAGTGCAGCCCCGCCCCGTGAACGGCCACGCTGAAGGCCACGCAGGAGAAGATCAGGGCGGCCAGGCGCACCCACAGCAGCGGGGACGAGCGGACCACGACCAGCGGCATGTTGCGAGGGAGTCTAAGGCTGCAGGCTACGGTAAAAACAACAGGTAACTATAGGCAACAGGGTCTCTAGGATACGGCGGGACTGAAGAAACAAGCCAGACTTCGATGACCGACCGGGGTACAGAGGAGATACAGGCGACGGCCAAAGAGGGTTAGATCTGCTGTTCAGGAGGATCCAGACTTTGCTGACGTTCTTGAGGAGTTTCCAGAGGCACCGGTTCAGTATTTCTGCTCCAGCGCTGGCTTGCAGTATCGGTTCGCCGAATGTCACGTGAGGATTCTTTACCCAGTGAAGCGCTAGAATGAGGTGGATTCAGTCTTGAAAAAGCTCACAGTTACAGATTAACAGAGGAAATACAACTAGTGTTCAAAAATTCATAGCTCAAATTATAATTATTAGAGTATTAATACCACCATCCATTTTTAAATGGTTTGTTCTTGTCAGGGCACAAGGCTGGGATTGCAGGGTACACACACACACACACACACACACACATACACATACAACTCCCAACCCAGGAAGTGTGGCAGAATAGCAGTACACACTGCGCCACCACTGCACCCATCAACATCCCACTGTGAGAACTGCGGCCCGATAGACAGGCGATAATTTCATGTCAGTTCTGCTGTCGTGCCACTTGGGGGCAGCAGTGAGGAAACCACGTAAAATAAGTGCCAAGATAAAGGCATTTCCAGCTACGCAAAACCCCCCAAGCCGCAAGCAGGAAATCAGGCCTCAGATACAGGTTTCACAATTAGAAGTGTGATATAACAAGACTATAAGAATGTAAAAATAGCACGAATGAAAATTCACGCCAGCATAGATTGCTACAACATCTGCTTTACCTTTAAGTCTTCAGCGAATCTGAACTCAACACGAGCTGAAAGAAAGACAAAACAATGCAGCAATTATTATTCATATATTCAGCATCATTTAATCCTGCCTGGTTTAATGCTAATCAACATAACATATTATCTTAAAAGCTTAAAGCATAATGTATGAGAATGAAACTGGGCACAGGAAACTGGGCAAAGGGGGAGTCAGTAATGGCGTATTCTTTATTTAATCAGGTTCTAGCTATACGGCCACTTCACTTATCACTAATCGAGTTACAATGGAGTTTTCCTTCTGATTTATCCCCCCGATTGGGAAATGGTACTACCTCTACTCCAGTCCCCTACCATGCTGGAAGGCTGTACCACCCTATAACGGGGGGGGGGGGGGCTGGGAGCGCCATCTATTCCTCCTTTCCCAGTGTGCGGCCAAACTGCTGGCCCACTGCCCACTGGACCCTTAATGAGGGCTTAACGAATGTTTGTTAAATGGGGCGGCCATCTGGCCACGGGGCAGACGGGCGTGGCGGAGCGCGGGGGCTCTGGGGGCTCCACAGTCAGCGCGCGGTTTCACTCAGAGCATAACTATGTGTGAGTAAAAGGCAGCGGTTGTGACATGATGGGGGGGGGAACCATACAAAATAATAGTTCAGTTATGCAATGTAAGGATTTTTTCTGTCCTATCTTTGGAGTTTTGGCACGATGTGCAAAAATCCCGCCCAAATAACTGCTCTGAAATCCGCGCAGAGCCCGACTGAACTGGGGGGAAAAAACATGGAGACGTATCGTAACGGGACTGGGATCA